AGGGCGTAGGATACGTACGGTATATGCTATTATACATATTTTTCTATAGTAAATTGACATCTGTATTTATGAAATATACTATATCATGACATATGTTTAAAAATTATTCGCCAAAGGCCCAAAGGCGAGGTGAATCTTGTTGAATAATCCCCGAGACGAAGTCAAGGGGATTATTCAACACGATTCACCGAGCCTGAGGCGAATAATTGTTTTAGTATCATTGCCCGAGTGAATATTGAGAGTTGAAACCAGTCTGTTGACAAAACGTTTCATAAAAGTAGATGTAAACAAGTGTCAGCAACCATTTTGTGGTAACTCAAATTGTTGCATTTCGGCAAATTTTCCCCCCAACAAACTCAACATATACCGTTAGGAAAACGGTAAACAAACCTTGTTGAACCACAGGCACTTGCGACTGGCTGGTCGATAAATAGCAAACCCGTTCTACGCCTACCGTTGTGTGTATAAGAGTGTATATATGAGAGATAGTCGCAGTACCGACTGATCTTGAGTCGGTTTTCAGCGAAAATACCAGATTTTCACCGCTCATTATCTCAGCGTAGAGGCATCGTAGGGACATGCATTCGTTTGGCTGCGTCCTACGGCTCATAGGGTCTATGTCCCCCAGGTTAGTGCCGGAACGTACCCTGGGTACGGTCCGGTATACCGGAACGTACCCTGGTAACTATATGATATGGTTAAGGTTAGGGTTAGGGTTAGTGTTAGCTAGGGTTAGGGTTAGGGAGTATAGGCGCGTAGGCGACTCCCTAGACTCGTTAGTGGAGTAGGCGAGGTACAGTCGGTTAGGTCAGGATACCATCCAAATCATTCAAATTGTGAAAAAAGTATGAAAATTGGTACACTTGCATACTTTTGTATGCTCTTTCATTTAAAGACAGGACACACGCGATCCAATTACAACTTTGGCCGCCATCTTGAATTCAAAAATGGCCGCCGTCATTTCTTAAAAAATAGCTATATCTCGGTTAATAATTTTCGTACAGACTTGAAAATTGACTGACAGACGTAATTTGGGTTACTATTTCATACAACAACGTGATGCATGTGATCCAAGAGCGTTTTGGGCCATCATCTTAGATTCAAAATAACCACCATAAAAATTACAAACTTGGCAATTTTTCCGTTCACGGAAGATATAGAGACGTGAAAATTTGCAGACTGGCGCAGGTTAATAAGCTCTTTCATAATAAAACAAGACACACAAGTTCTAATTATAATTACAGCGGCCATACTGAATTCAACATGGCCGCCATCACATTTTACTCTGTACTTCAAAATGATCAATGACATAATAGTATAACAGATACAAACAAACATGGTGAAAATGTTGAATTACCGATTTTTCTCAGTATATAACAAACACAATGCCAAACTGGCAATCGGAATCCCCAGTGTGAGAGAGAGATAATTCAAGACAACAAGTTGTAGTATACAGTACACAAGAACATGCATGGCAAGCTAAATAATACTATTGTTTAAGTTAAACAAATGTCTCGAAACTGCATTGTCCACAAGTTGTCGCAGATTGTCACTCAGTGCGGTAACATGTACCTGCACAAACACAAATATAGTACTTGTATGTACAGTATAGTATCTGTTATGTGCGTGCGTTATCGCGGGCGTATAGGTATCTGTTATGTGCGTACGTTATCGCGGGCGTATAGGTATCTGTTATGTGC